AATGGGGTAAAGAATTCGTCCGTCAAGTCGGGTTTGCTGAGCGTGCGTGTGGTTTCGCGTGGCCGGAGGATATCAAGGTTGATGTCGTGGAACAACATCTGGCCGGCAAGGCGCAGACGTATTACCGTCGGCAGGTGGAGACTTGGTGGTCTGAAAGCCACACCTTGGAGCATGCTATGCAAAGGTTGCTTCAGACTTTCAACACCAAGATATCACCTGCCCAGAGCATGAAATTGTTCACGGCGCCAAAGGCAACTCAGAGAAGTTGGACGGACCACTTCTTATACCTGACGGCCGTGAGTGATGCATGCGGAGGGGCGGACAACCTGGTGCTTGACAACATCGTCCACTATGCAAATCCGCTTATGCGTACGACCATGTTGTCCAGGTTGGATATGCATCGTACCGACCCCTTACGTCAGGCTGAAGAACTGGCTCAATTCGCGCAGTCGACGAGATTGACACTCATGCAAAGAATCTTGGGCGCGATGTGGTAAACGCTATCGAAACAAGAAAGGAACCGAAGGACAGGGTCAAGGCTAAGGTAAAATCAACCTTCGGTGAAGGTGATCCAGCGCACGTGTTACAAGTGCGGGGAAGTCGGACACATCAGGTCGATGTGCCCGCAACTGAAGAAGAAGATACCAAGGGCAAGCTTTACCTTTGCAATTGGCAATGGTGGACATATTCAAGACAACAATTGGATCCTTGACAGTGGGTCCAGCAGACATTTGGTAAACGATCTAAGTCTGCTGGTTAATCCGAAAGACTGTCAGAGTGAATGTTTGACGGCAGCCACTGATGGAGGCGTGCTGAGAATCACATCAAGGAAGTGTCGACATTGAAGTTGTCGCACTGGGAGTTGTGAACCTTATCCGGATTTCTCGATGTTCAGTATGCTCCAAACCTCGAGCGAAATATCATATCATATGGTAAGCTCGAGGCTAAAGGATTTATACTCGAATATCGAGGAGGGAGGCGTGTGTTGACCTCCGGGGTCGGAGGTGCACCGATAATGGATGTTGAATGCAACAACAATGTGTTGGTTGTCACGGTGATGAGACCCGGTAACACCGTTTCAAGCACATCACGGGAAGCGATGATGGCTGTACTTAATTCACCTGAATATGAATACGATTCGGATGTTTAGAGTGGTACCTTGATGCACTTTCATCGCCGATTGGGCCATCTCTGTTTCGATACTATCATCAAGATGGCCAGAGACCCGGGGTCGGCTATTAAGCTGACTGACCTGACACGCATAAATTGCCTGGCTTGTGCTAAAGGAAAACAAGTCAAGAAAGCACAGTCGAAAAAGGACACGGGCATGAAATCACCTATCGACGTGATAGGTGGAGTGATATGCTCTGATCTCAAGGGACCGATAACCCCACGAGACCGACTGGGAAATCGTTACCTAATCAATTTTATTGACCACCGATCAAATTATTGCCGTGTGTTTCTGGCCAAGTCTAAAGATATTGCTGCACTCAAGTTCAAGCAATTCCTTGTGAGTTTCGAACGAGAATTTAATTGCAAGATCCACGTGCTTTGCACGGACGGAGGTGGCGAATACAAGACATTGGATGTGTTTTGCAAAGGGACTGGCGTATCACGTCAAGTGAGCGAAGCCAGACACCAAGCCAGTAATGGTAAGGCTGAACGGATGCATCGTACTATTATGAATATGGTAAGAAGCATGGTATTCGCCTCGAACCTACCCCTTTCTTTCTGGAGTGATGCTGCTGAGTACGCGACTTACATACTCAACCGGAGCCGAACCAAGTCGAATCCTGGTGGTGTATCCCCAATGGAATTTTTGACGAAGAATGTGCCTATGCTGAATGACATCGTGGTGTTCGGTTCTGCATGCACGGTTCATGTCCATACAAAAAAAACGCCACTTGGAGAGCGTGGGAAGGCAGCCATAATAATTGGCAAAAGTGGCGAGACGAAGGGTTACAAAGTGTACATCCTCAAGGACAAGGTGGTTGTGGTAACACAACATGTGCAAAACATTGAAACACTGTCGGATGAGCAAAATGAACAAGTCAAGTCCCACTTGAAGATAGTCGAACATCAGGAGGAGTCACCCAATGATGATCAACCGGATGTTCAAGTGCAATCAAGCGTCAAAAAACGGGTCACGAAAGGACTCAAGGGTCGAAAATCCGGATGGACGAGAGAGCGACATGGTACAAGGTCAACCATCAAGCAACAGGTTAAAGAGCCTTCGAATAAGGGTTCTGCTGAACAACAAGATGTGGTAAATGTAATCATAATGCAAGACCCCAAGCACTATGGAGAAGCGGTCAAGAGCAAGCAACATCAAGAGTGGAAGATCGCCATGACCAAAGAACTGGACGCGTTAAAGGCGAACGATGTCTGGACGATCGTTGCACCACCCAAGGATGCGCACGTTATCCACAACAAGTGGGTGTACAAGACCAAAACGGATGCGAACGGGGACATAGAGCGGTACAAGGCTCGTCTGGTCGTCTGTGGAAACGAACAAGTCTTTGGAGTAGACTACAACCTCACCTTTGCAGCGGTGATGGACTTGAGCACGGTGAAGATGATCTTGATGCTATCAAGACGTTGGAAGGTACCAGCTCTACATGGTGATGTGCCGAATGCATACGTCAAGGCAGAAAAGGAGGAGCATTTGGACATATACATGAAGGTGCCAAAAGGTATGACCATAGACGAAGAAAAGATCAAGGGTCTGGGAAAAAGGTCGACGAACGACTTAGCACTGCTTTTGAAGAAGTCACTATATGGACTCAAGCATGCTGGAAGACTCTGGAGCAAACTACTAGATTCCAAGTTGCAACAGAGCGGGTTCCGACAATGTACGACAGACATGTGTTTGTATTTCAAGTACGTAGGCATACATGCACAGTGGTCGGAGTCTACGTCGATGATTTGCTCGTCACAGGAACTGATCCAAGCGCAGTGAAAAACTTCTTCAAGGACATGGCGGGTTTGTCAATCAAGGATCTAGGCGCGGTAAACAAGTTTTTTTAGGACTTCGCATCAAGCTGGACGAGTCCGAGGGGTACATTCTGGACCAACAAGTGACGATCGAGTTGCTGTTGAAGGAGTTCGGACTGGACTCGGCGAACGGAGTGAGGACTCCGATAGGTGACGAATGCAATCTCGAGGATGAGTATGCTCAAGACTTCCTGCCAAAAGGAGTGCAAAGAACGACCCAAGCGTGAAGTCTTTTCAGTCGATGGTGGGAAGTCTACTGTAGATCGCAAGGTGCACGCGGCCGGTATTTGCTTTGCAGTGCACAAGGCAACAAGACAAACACACAAGCCGACGACCAAGGATTGGAGGACTGCCAAAAGGATCATGGCTACTTGAAGATGTCGAAGGATCTGAAGCTACATCTGGGGGGAAATGGATCGACATCCAAGGACATGCGTATCGAGAGCTGGAGCGACGCGGATTTTGCGGCAGACAAGTCGGACCGTAAGTCTGTGTCTGGTTGTGTCCTGACCATGGATGGCTCTATTGTCCTTTGGTTGTGCAAGAAGCAGTCTAGTGTGTCGCTGAGCACCATGGAGGCAGAATTCATCGCGGCGTCTCAAGCCGGACGCGAGCTACTAGGGATGAAGGGACTATTCGACGAATTGAAGTTGAACGTGATCAAGCCGATGCCGATGTGGATAGACAATCAAGCGGCTATCAAGCAGATAGAGTCGGAGAAGAGCACGTTAAGCGCCAAGCACGTGGACATCAGGTTCAAGTTCATCTGCAACTACGCGAAAGATGGGATCGTGGCTCCAAGATTTGTCAAGTCCCAAGACATGATGGCCGATATCTTGACGAAGTCATTGCCGGCGCCAAGAATGGAAGAGCTACGTGCAATGTTCGGGTTAAAGACCACTCAGGCTGACACCGAGGAGAAGTGTTAGAATGCCTGTTTAGAAACGTCTTGTCAGTCATTGTTATGTTACAGGTTCAACAGGTATAACATGTGACGGTGACACCTGATTGGTCAAATTCACACATATCTTAACATGTGGTGAGACGAGGCACGATGGTGAAGATGGTGAGACGAGGACGATGTAAGATGGTGAGACGAGGCTACGATGGTGACAGATGGTGAGACGAGGCTACGACAGTGACAAGTGTCGTGATAGGCGTTACGATAAGATCGGACCAGGTGATGGGACGAGGTGGCGACATGACCGTTGAGCGACATGACGACGACGTAGAAGACGGACGCAAACATGTTATGGTCAAGTTGCAGTGCATGTTGTATTATAGTGTTAGCGAACGAAGATAACATTCTAATACATCACTTTTACTTCTAACTACCTCTGCACAAGTGCAACTACCATCTATTTACAACATGATTGACGTGTCTTTCAAGCAGATCGGCATCTTATAATAACGATTAATATAATTTGTTTAAGTGGAGAGCACTTAGGGTCAAATGTATGTAAGGACCTTAGTGGATAACAGTAGATCCCGTTTAAATTAATATAACGGGACTAAAACGTATTATCAGATTATGAAGTCTATTAGCTAAGCCAGCTCTACAATAATTATGTGAGCGTACTCGGAGCTACAGGTTTGTAGCAGTTTAGACAGGTTAACAGTAAAGACAGTGTCACTTTGGACAATTTGTGTCAGAGAGCATCTATACAATGTCTTTTTGATGCGTCAGATTGCAAAAAATAGTCATCATGATAATCGACTATGATATGGATAAATGTGTAGATATAAAGTTACGTAATTCACACAGTTTTATGCTCAACACACCATGACCAATTTCCAATAAACTTAACATGGTACGTCTCCACTTCTTTGTATCCATATTAAATTCCCCAGCTCTGTATCTCTATTACAAGACGTTTATTCACATTAGCATTACTTCCTATGTTTTTATTAGCACCCCTCTAAGCAATATATCTGACCATATACATGTCTCTATATCGTTCTTACATTCACAGGACGCTGGTGCATTGAGAACTGTGAATAACCAAATGGGCACTTTGGTTCTGGACATTCAAGGTCAAGTGCTCTCAGCTACAGGTGCATTACGTGGAAACGCCGGAGAGATAGCAGCTGAGACGATCTACTCGATGCTACAGGACACAAGCAGTGTATTGGATACGAGTCAGAAGGAGGAATTAAGACGCATGACCAGTACGTCCATAGTTGATAAAAACACTTACGTTTTAAGCTTATTTGGTGGAGAATTAACGATACTTTATGTAAATTTTGTCATGTTAAATTTGTAGTCAATTTTCCGACCTATGATTACGTGGTGACGCTGGATACGGAGCAAGTTTACGTGATCAAGCGCAGTATTGTTCAGGAATAAGGAAAGGAAAAGAGAGAGCCAATGGAAATGAGCGCGCATGTTATGATCGATACGTCTTGACCACTAAAAATTACATGGGAAGATGTATTGATGTAATTCGAGCAGGTGATGCTTCGACGCCAATTTCTCTTGATAGTAAGTTTGATATGTGTGTGTTAAGTCCACATTTCTCATTGTGCGTATCGTCATTAGTTAACGAGTACACTATTCCTGCTCCAGTCCTCCTTACCTAAACTCGCTCTATGACTTTCTTTGACCGGATGGCAGCCGACTCGGCGTCAGATTATCGCAAGTGAAGCTGGTGAGACACGACTTGCAGAAAACGCGACTTGAAGTTGCTATTACAATCTGATTTACTCGTCATTGACGCAATCGTGATTCTCATTCTACGATGAAGTTTTCGTCAATTCTCTATTCTTTTTTTGTTTGTTGTCTTCTCATTTGCGTCTTTACATATTTTTTTATTTATTACCCATATAATATTATCATTAGTCGCTCAACAAAAAGCACAATATTAAAGAAACAAATAATATACTAAATTCTTCTTACTTCTTGTAACTGCATTATAATACCATATATATTTACAATTTGCATTTTTGATAGTGTCCGTCACACCATCTTTTTAAGCAATCCGTCTTGTGTCGACCACTTCATTTCAATAAATTATAAGTTTCTCATAAGTCCTCCTACTCAATAAGAAAAACAATATGGACATTTCAAGTGAAGTAAATGGTCATACATACTTAAAAACTGCAATGACGTCAGAAACATCCGAATTAAAGTCTTGCGTGACGTCCACAAAAAAGCAACCGAACTTTCTGTCGGCTCTGAAAGACTCGGAATTTCGAATGTTGTTAAATGATTACATGCACGACATAACAGACGTACATCATCACAATGAGACGGTACACTGTTTGTCCCAACGTCAGAACGAACATCAAGTAGTAAAGAACAAGCACTTTGTGCAACTTAAGCCTGGATTTGTCGTCAAGACGACAGATGACAAGAAGCAGAAAGTTTTTATTAATGTGTGCAGTAGTGACAAGATGCAGCCACCTTTAAATACTAACGTGACGTCTAATCAACCGAGTTTATCGTGGTATTTGCCGTATTCAATAGGAATCAAAAGACTCGAGATGGACAAAGGAGGCGTCAATGTCCCAACGTTTGACGTGTGTTTCCATCCTCAAGTTATCGAGTTTGCAATGGCTCGAGTGGATTTTAAGCACCTGGTTATTACGACGTGCTTGAATGCAGTTGAGGATGCAATTAGAGACTCTAGATGCAAACCTAGAGCGCTACTGGCGAGAAAGTATCATATTCTTAAAGGTATCGATTACAAGTCAGGTGATCCAGTTCCAATGTGTTTAAGGAGGAAGGACTGGAAAGTTACAGAAATGTCAAACTCTAAGACGGTGAAGGAAGTGCAGGTGAAGAACGAGACAATTGTGGATTTATCTCTAGATAATAGCACGATGTTGGACGACAAGGAGACGATTACAGCAGCTATTGATCAAGTGGATGACTTGAAATTGACGCAGGTGGAGGAGATTGATAACAGTATTCCTTGGATAAAGAAGGTATCGAGGAATAACTTTGATTCGAAACAAAAGCTTGAGAAATTACAGCAGAAGAAGAAGTTGGAGCACCAATTGGTATATTGCGGACGTTTCGAGCATTTTTATGACGTGCAAGCAGATCCAGACAAACAGATTTCTGAAGATGGGAATCGACCTAAAGAGTTGGTGGTCGAAGTGAATTTTCCTCTTTCTACCAGTGCCAAAGGAATTGACTTGGATGTGAGTGAGCGGATGCTGCGACTGTCAACGGATGTTGATGTGGTTGGCGACTACGAGCCGCTGGAGCTGGTATTGCCTTTTCCGGTGGTTCAGGACAAAGGCTGTGCCAAATTTGACCGCAAGAAACGCAAACTAGTGGTCACTTTACCAGTGCACCCTCCACCAAAGCCGAAGCCACACTCCGTTTTGTTGATCGTTCGGGATGACGACGAGAAAGAAGAAAAGGGAAATGAACTACCTCAGAGTAAAGTGGTAACTCTTACGAGCAGTAAAGTGTTCGCACCAAAGCAAAAGAATGAGGGTCAAAATAATTCGCTTGTGCGAAGAGATACTACACTAATAGTAGCAAGTGACTCGCAGGCGATGGCACAGAATCAGCGTAAGACTCAACGACACCCTTTAACGGCAGTAACGCGTTCGTCGCAAGCTGTAATGGCTGAGCTAGCTGCAATCAAGGACGACGTTTCTGATAATCTGCCACCGCTAAAGAGCTGTGGCGGCGAAGAGATTGACACAGCGGAACTTTGTGCTGAAGAAACGGACTTCTCTTTAGGTATGTCAGCATCTATTGAGTCTGCATCTACAACCGTCGTGGATCCCATCAAGCCGCCTTTCGAGACTCACATTACTTTGAAGTGTCTGTCATACATCGTTAGTGTGGCTGGCATTGACTCGACGAGCGTGAAACTTACGCTTCCGTCAAATTGTTCGCTGCGCCTTCAATTTTTAGACAGCGACAAGCAAGTGTATGAGTTGCATGTCGCTATCTTACCAGTCGATATTGATCCGTCCACCGCTGAATTTGACGTGGCTAGTGAGAATATGGTGGTCATTCTTCACAAAAAATATGCAGCAATAGCTTCCGCAGCTTGATGCTCTTGCAAAGAACCAACTTCTGAACCAGCAGGATATATGATATCTATTCACTTCAAGATGAGTAGAACAAAGCGTTCGTTTCTGTCTAGCTACGGGTGAATTAGCTCAAGTGAAGACTGCATCGCCTGACCCATGATAACATCAAACGCAGTCATGTTGACCAGCAAATGACGACACCTCAAGATCAACTTTACATCTGAAGCAATTGACAACAGCGATTGTCACTCGCAAAGTCTTCCATGATGAGAGAGCCCCATACTTCTGCTTGATCTCGTGTTGCGGTCCAGTGAAACTTTAGAATGTTGTGCGAGTGCCGGGCAAGTAGCTATCTTCACATCATCTCCAGCTGATATTTTCAATAGCAGGGGCTCTGTGAAAACATCATTTAACTGTTCTCAAGCAGGGGTATATGTGTGAGTCGAACAACATCGGAATTTACTTGTCTGGTAGGCACAACTCTGCTTTCAGCATTCACTAAGCGTGAGCAACAGACACATCTAAGCAACACAGCAGATAGCAAAACGTGTAATCTATTCACCTGAAGTCCTGTATGGACTTACACCCGACGCGCCTTAGTGTTGCGGAATGTCTCCAGCAGCTTGGAATATGTCTCCTGCTGTAGCTCTGGATTGGCCAGGTCCTTCTCTACCTGGAGCTTCATGCGCTTGCGCTGCTCACTATTCTCGTTGACTGGAAGATCCAACGGGACCTGCTGCTGCTGTTGCTGAAGCTGCTTCTTGCGCCGTTTATTCTTTTTCGTCTGGGGGCCAGTTGCTTCATCAATTGCATTCTTGGAGGTCTTGCCACTCTCTGCGACCTGATGCGGCTTTGGCAGCATTGTATCCATAAAAGATCTGTACAAAGCCGTCATTGACGGTAGTACGTGAGCCGGCGCATCGAACAGACTGCTAGCCGCCGATCCATTGCCAGTTGTACTGCTTTGCCCAACGTATTTGCTTTGTGTGGCTTTCTTCTGTGAATCACCACCACCACTGGCGGTATTGTAGATAGCGCTTAGTGCCTTGGTTTCCTGTTCGCCTGTCTTGGACGCGAAACGAACAACGGCAGCAACGTGGGCCTGCTTGCGACGTACGGCGTTCAACGACCTGGCGTTAGGTCCATCCAGTCTCCAGATTCCTGTATTGTTATCGACAAGAACGATGTCTCCAGTGCCGGGGTGAAAGCCAGCGCTCCACACCATCCTGTCGAAATTTACAACACGCACGCACGACGGCACAGGCGTCTGAGGATCAAAGACAAGCACCAAAGTTTTCTTCTTTGACTTTTCATTCACAGGCATCCAGACCAAAAAGCGTTCATGCAGGGCATCTTCGGCAACAACAGCATTTTTACGCACAGTGTAACGCCACCAAAGGGACAGGGACAACAGGTTCCAAACCTGCACTTGGTTGTTTGTTACCACCACGACAAAAGGCGAATTGACGCCTGGGAACACAATCTGCTTAATCTTCTGACCATCAGCCGAAGGAAATACACGACGCAAAGTGTGTGTCGTAATGTCCCAAAGAGTAAGTTTGTTTCCGTAGGCCACAGCAAGCAATGAACCATCACGTGCAAAACCAATTGCCGTAATTGGTTCCTCACGAAAGCGAACAACTGACTGGCAGTGCCACGACGCACCACCTGCCTCAGTTACCGACTTCTGCCACACCTTAAAGTCACCCTGGTCATCAGCTGTCACTACGCAGTCGCTATCAACCATAGGGGAGAATGCCACACTCGTAACACAAGCGCGACCATGAGGCGCATCGACCGCCGTATTCACAAAGAACGAGCCGTCCACACGACGCGTCCAAAACCGCAAAGCCTGCTCGCCGCCCTTCTCCATTGTAGTTGGTGCGTGAAGCGTCACAAGGTCACCACCACGGGAGCTGAAGCATGAGTGCGATGCCAGCAGTGTTGGTAGTACCTCGTCTTCCGTGCGCGTTACCTGGTTCCGCTCCGAGAGCAAAAGCGTCTGCAACACACGGTCAGTAAACGGTTCATAAAACTGCAAGACACCAGCACCCGACGATCCATTCATCACCAGAGCTTTAGAGACCGGATCTACCACCAATTGACGAGTCGGCAGTGAGTCGGCAGCCGACCTCCCACCACGAGCTAATCCACGTGCCTCCCACTCTTGTTCACGTGTCACTGGATTGTATTGAAAGAGAACATTGTCTGCAAGACCCACGACATACACTCCTCCATCCTTTCGAGGTGCAATGACCTCAACAGGTGCTGGAAGACGTGGCAAATAGGACCGACGACCTGTTTCCAATTGCCACGTTACCAGCACACATTCTTCACCACCAGACAGCAAAAATTGACCGTCATTTGAGTACTGAATACAATGCACAGCATGTGAGTGCCAGTGCATCATCGCAGCCGCCGAGGTGGCTATTGATTGTCCAGTCTGTTCATGTCGATCATAGAGAAAAATCTGTCCCATCTTGTCACCAATTGCAAACTTTCTTTCAACGGGATTCACCGCCACACACGTCACATGACGAAGATGTTTAAACTTCTGTTGCACATAAACTCGATTGCTTGAATCTATAGCTCCTGGTTGATAATGTAGCCATAATGTAATGATAGTCCGACCAGCAGCTATAATGACGTAATCTCCTGGAACAGCATCATTGGCTTCCTTTTGAGGCTGTACGTAACTTTGCAAAGCAGCAGCTTGAAATACTTTATCATATTGAAATAACATACGCCCCTTTTTTTCTTCTTGAGACTAAATTCCAATAAACACCATCTGTTTTTATCACTTTTGACAATTAATAATAATTGCGAGGGACTTGTGAGACTTGATGCCATCCACAGAACAGGTGTTTGTATGTTCATTTCAATCAATGGCTTTTGTTCCACAAAATCCCAGAGGAGAATGTAGCCATCTTGATACGCAGCCAAGAGTTGAAGGGCATTGTGTGGATGTAACGCCAACGCACAGACTTGACTGGAACTTGTGACACGTGTACATTCGTGCAACATGCGCCCACTTTTGGCGTGCAACACACGAACAACATGCGCCTGACGTTGAAAGACGTAACGACCATCAGCTGAGTATACAAGAGTAGCAGCTGGAAGTCCCACGTGGCTAGAGGATAAAGATACAGACGTTGGTGGAGGTGTGAGCAACTCAAGCTCGTGTGCTTGATCAAGTGGTGGAGACTCCAGTTCCATCGTCATAATCAGTGGTAGTAATGGCTGCAACGTTTGACTGGTGTGGTAAAACGCCCGTTTATTGGTCAAAAAGATGGGTGGAAGCGAGTAGGGACGTCTTGGTAGTCAATACAAGAGGATGTACTGGTAGTCACATACAGTCAAATGTAGCCATCTATTACATTATAATGTAGCTATATATTTGTGCACTGAGACGAGAAACACCAGCATCGATACTACGGCCTTTACATTGAGTCGTCGGAGATCTGCATTGGTCTTTGATGTTGTCTGGGGGTAGCGTTGAAGGTCTCAGTCATCATAGCACGTAGCTAAAGGTCTGCTATATATACACAGCAAGTTGTCGACACAAATGTCGGCATACAGCAGTCTTACAATATCAACTCATGCGTGAAAGCTGCGACAGCTACTTGTTGACAACGTAGAGCGAGCACAAAGTAAGTGTCGAGGTCGTCCATGGTTGCAATATACCATTGGAGAAAGTTTGCCTTGCTAGTGCTTTCAATAGTTGAATCATTGATGAGATACATTTTTCGATCGACCCAAAGAGTGAAATCTAGCTCTTCATCAATATCTTACTGCCTTGGAAAGAAAGACCACAACAGCGCTGTCTCCTAAGTTGCTAGTCTACCCATCTGTATCCTTCGCACTCCCATTTGTGTCAACAGATTGTACGTTACAGGTAGCTCACGTAACAGGAGCTCGTCATTCTATTCGAACAACGTTACGTGATCTTGAAAAGGTCTTGAACTGAATGGTGACGGTCCCACTTCAAGTTGCACCGTTACGATTAGAAGAACGAAACCATTTTCGTTACGTCTGAAGCCGATTTGGCAATTAGGGACGCCACTTTTCATGGCAATGCAAAGCTTCGAGATGACTTTATCGTTTTGTGTAAACGCTTCTTGTTGCGTGAAGGAAAATGCTGATGCAGATGGATCAAGACTAGTAACAACCAGGATGAAGACGGTGGATGTGGTTATCTGCCCGGTAGGTAATCACAACGTGCACCGACTACAAGAACTTAACTTGCAGCTCTTGGCTGTGCGGTACAACTTGGCATTCTACAAAGAGGTTCTGGGTGCTCCATTGGGGTACGCTCAATTGGGTAGGAAGACAAAGTCACGTTGTTGTAACGATGGTTGTTAATGGGCTAATGATCGGTGTCCTTAGTGTGCGTCGGAGACTACGCAGCCGGAGCTATTTGCTGTCGTCGAGAACGAATGGAAGTAGGACTTGATGGTCTACAGCGAATATACCTTTTGACCTTCGGCGTCATGAACAACTATCGACGAGCTAGAATCGGTCACAATTTGTGCTACTTGACATGTTTTGGTTCATGAAGCTCACTTGAAGCATTGTTGTGCATGCAGGTAGTCGGCTTCTTGAAGGCGTGATCGCACAGTCGATTCAAGACGGAGTGGTGCAAGTGTACCTTCACGTTCAGACCAGCAACATTGCAGCGCTGCAATTTTATCGTTCGCATGGTTTTGAAGCTACAGAGATCCTGCGCAACTACTAGAAGCACATCGATCCACCAGATTGTTACGTCTTACGTCGACATCTGACACCGTAGCTGCTTGGCCCTAAGCTTTTAGGCGTTTTAAATTCAAACAGCACGTCTGATGATTAATTGTTAGTCATGTACTTCCTCTCTAACAGCAGCAACGGACCGTGAGCACTCATATAATCATGCTGTGGCCCCTGCCTCGATTTTTCGACGCTTTGAGTCGTCTTGCTTTGACGCCTGACGCTCCGAGCTGAATGCAATTGCCTCGGGTAGTTGGAACGAAATGCATACCATAACCTTCTTGGGGGCTACGTCACGTACGAGGTGAAACGTCGTTCTTTCCAAGTCCAGCTTGCCGCCCATGATCTTTTCAGCGCGCTACAAAGACATTAACACATCAAATAAGAATCGCGGCCCATTTCAATTGCGTGAATGAGATCTACTTCTCACCTCCTTCACGTCCTTCTGGACGTCATCGGCATTGGAGAAGCAGTAGCAGTATATGTACGGGAGCTCGCCTTCCCAGTAATCAAATTGTCCAGGAAACGCATCCAGGAACTCGAGTGCAATAGCTGGCAGATTCATAAGCACTTGTGTAAACTGCTTCTTTTCGTTCAGCAGCTTGGCCAAAAATTCCCGGCCGTCCAGATTGTAGGGCGTAACGAGATTCTCCACCTTGTTTAACGCAATATTTTCCTTTAAATAATGGTAACTTCTCGGATTCAGGTCATTTGCATACACCTTGCTGCCATTTATAGCCACAGGAACAGCAAAAGGGCCGATGCCACACATCATATCGCACACTACGTCAGTAGGTTTAATGCGACGGATGATCCGCAGATGCTCCTGTTGCAGTCGTGAGTTCCAGTAGACCTGTGCGTAGTTAAACTTAAACACAGCCTTGCTCTCTCGCACCTCGACCTCCATATCATTGTCCCCAGCCAGGACTTCCATCGGGAATGTCCGAAACTTGGTCTCAATGTTGTCTGTCTTGTTCACGACGGTCCGGATCTGTGCATTCTTGTCCAAAATGACCTGTCCAATGACGTTCTTGTACGGCAATTGATTGTCTCTTAAGTTCAAGTGGGCAATGTGTCCGACTGTCTCAAAGGAGCTCGGAATGTCCATACCCTTGGGCAATAGCTCGCTTAAAACCTGGTCCACTGCATAGTAGCTATAATCCAGCTCAATGGCGTGGTTTACAAAAGATAGACTTTCCTGCTTTAGAAACCTCACGAGGTCTTTATTTAAAGGCCAAAGAGTCTCAATGTCCGTCACTTTTGCATTGAGCAAGATCAATTTACTGCTTGAGTTCTTGTATGGGTCTGGATTAGTCGGATCCGGGACGACGTTACGCAATCGCGGTAAATTAAGTAAATGACCATGGAGCTTTTTTACTACACATCCAATTTTCTTGGCTTCCACACGCACGCCAATGACTTTCAGCGTCTTTTTGAATAGATTCTTGTCCAGTAATGGCTTGGACATGATGTTGCAATTGGAAGCTCCTACGAATATTGATGGCCATTTATTGTTAGTGTGGTACACATGACAACGTGGGGTGGTATACCTAAGCTGAAGTATTCATGGCTACATCTAGAATGCATGTCATCATCGTCATGTAGTCGCATGGAGCTGCAGTCGCAGTACGAAACAATGCGGCGGATGAATTTCCGGATAGTAATTGTGCATGAACTTGACGAATTTAAAGCCACGTGCAAAGTAAAAGTGCAGGGCAGCCTTGTTGCAACTCTGGACGTGGAGATACACATATGCAAGCTGGTCCTTGCGAGCCTGTGAGATGACGCTTTCAAGCAGTAAAGTGCCTATGATAAACGAAAGCAGCAGCAAACAACAATGTCAGAAGTCAATGATTCACGTCGGACTGTACATACTGCACCAAGAGCCCTACCTAATTTAGAGCGGCGATATTCTTGCAACACTCCAAGCGTTAGAATACACAGACGAAAACGACGTTTTTTCAAGATCTTGACATCTTCCAGCTCGCAACATATTGCACCAATAGCATCTCCATTAGCTGTGTAAGCTGCAGAAAAATGCATGAGCTAAAGTAAACACTCGGTCACTTTATTACAACGTACCAAGTTTGCAATATCCTTCAGGTGCATCTGCCACATATTCGTAAAATGCATTGTTGTATTTGATAGGAAACAGCTTTTCGTTCATCTTATAGAGTTCTTGTACATTACTATCGTCAATGGGAAGAAAAGTGACATCTTCAATTGCCAATTGATGCAATTTACTTCTTCTACTTGTCGTATGAGTCTTCGTATCATTAAGATTATCATTGCCATCCATTTGCAGTCGATAAGATCTACTACTGAGGCTTTTAGTAGGCAACTGCTTCTCAAGTGTCTCTGGACTACACACTTTCGTGCTCAATCGCACAAATTTCATCCTATTTTTCTCTAGATTGGGCACTAGATTGTATAACTTTGGCATGTTTAATAGATGACAATGCACCCTTTTGATTACTTTACCAGCCATAGTGACGACGTACCTATAGTATGATCTTGTAGCATGATAGTACCACAAGAACTTTACTCCAATCAAAACACGATGTCTGTCTAAAGTACGACTTCTTTCATCCAATCATATTTGTTTTTCAGTCATCCAAGTAGCCATTTGTCAATTAGCGGTCTGCCACGCAAGCGTCATTAGGAAATCCAATATTGTAGCCATTATGAACGCTGTAGTATCCCTTGCCAAGCCAACAGCGGCCCCCACGCTCTTCCGTCGTAACCGCATCCGTGTCAAGGAGTTATTGAAAAGCGGTATGAAGTTGGAGGGGGAGACGCTCACGGTGAAAGGCTGGGCAAAGACTCTGCGAGAGGCTGGAGCTGGTGCCTTTGCGTTCCTAGAGCTCAACGACGGTTCGTGCTTTGCTGGCGTCCAGTGCGTCATCAACAAGGAAGAGACAGTGGGATTTGCTGACGCAATTGCGTCTGGCGGTGTTGGTGCTAGTTTTAGCGTGGAAGGCGTCGTCGTCAAGTCGCCAGCCAAGGGCCAAGAGATTGAGCTGAAAGCTGCCAAAGTCATGGTCTATGGCGGCGTTCCTGATAGTGCCACGTATCCCATGAGCAAGAAGCGCCACACGTTGGAACATTTGCGAGCTCACGCGCACTTGCGTCCACGCTCCAACATTCACGGCGCCGCAATGCGTGTCCGTAACGCTATGGCTTTTGCCACCCACGAGTTCTTTAATCAGCGTGGCTTCCTCTACATCCACACTCCTATTATCACAGAGTCAGATTGTGAAGGAGCTGGAGAGATGTTTAGTGTGACCACGTTGCTCAGCCAACACCCGGACGGCAAATTGCCGCTCACAAAGGAGAACAAGGTCGATTACACCAAGGACTTTTTCGACCGTCCGTCGTTCCTTAGTGTGTCTGGCCAGCTTAATGTTGAGACACACTGTTGTGCCCTCTCGGACGTGTACACGTTCGGTCCGACGTTTCGTGCCGAGAACTCGAACACGTCTCGTCATCTTGCTGAGTTCTGGATGATTGAGCCTGAAATTGCCTTTGCAGACCTCAAGGATGACATTGATCTGGCTGAGGATTATCTGAAGCACTGCGTGCAGTACGCTCTGGACCATTGCCTTGAGGATTTGGAGTTTTTCGGCAAGAATATCGAGAAGAACTTGCTCGAGCGTCTTGCAGCTACTGTCGAGTCGCCGTTTGTGCGCATCTCGTACACGGACGCCGTGGAGCTGCTACTTAAGCCAGAGCATTTGAAAAAGGGAAATTTTTCTGTCAAGCCTGTCTGGGGGACTGACTTTGGCTCGGAGCACGAGCGGTACTTGACTGAAGTGGTTTACAAGAAGCCGGTCGTGATCTTTGACTACCCAAAGGAATTTAAAAGCTTTTACATGCGTCTAAATGATGACGGCAAGACCGTTGCTGCTGCTGATGTGCTAGTGCCTAACGTGGGTGAAATCATCGGTGGATCGGCACGTGAGGAGCGTCTGGATGTACTGGAAAGCCGCATCCGAGAGTCTGGTGCAAACCCGGAAGAGTACAAGTGGTACCTTGAGCTGCGGAAATACGGCTCAGTGCCTCACGCTGGTTTTGGTCTCGGCTTTGAGCGTCTTATTCGTTACGTGACTGGTATTGAAAACATTCGTGATGTGATTCCATTCCCACGATGGCCTGGCAATGCCTCCTTTTAAGCGTACGGCTAGTGAGTGAGTGATCCGAACCTCGTAAACAATCTAGACTGTGACGATCAATACTTTTAGTTTCGTATATGTCTTGTTAAGTACGATTGTGATTAGCATAGCCAATCATGTTCTGATAGTAAAATCAAGAGAAAAAAGTTTACAGGTGGAGCTATGACGCATGACTTGTCGTCTCGTATTGAGTACTCGGAGAAGTATGTGGATGATACTCATGAGTACAGGTACATCCCTCTTGTCTCATTAGAAATGTCATGAAAAACAAGTGACGTTTTTTGACTCCTTTGTCTGTCTTATTGTTGATACAGACACGTGATCCTGCCAAAAGAGATGCAGCGTCAATTGCCCGATCGATTGCTGACAGAGACCGAATGGCGACAATTGGGCGTCCAACAGAGCCGTGGTTGGGTGCACTATGCCATTCACAAGTAGGTTTACTGCTCTGGTAAACGAGATGAGGGTCGTGCTGATTTTGATGTCGTGTTGACGGATGTACGTCTATTGCTTTTGCTGCTGTTATTGTTGCAGACCAGAGCCACACATTTTATTATTCCGACGTCCACTGGGTACGGACCCTTCTACTGGTCGCGTGGACTTGGAAATGCAAAAACAAGCAAAGGAAAAATATGCGCAGGAGTTTAATTGAAAGGAAAAGCGATAGATGTAGCTACTTGATAGCCAGCATCCTACAGAATCTTTCTCTTTGGTAAAAGTCTTATGATTAATAAAGGGTACTTTTTCATAAATTATGACACTTTAAAATAAACACCAACATTTTGTCAAAAACAATAAACATAGTATCATCATTTGACATAACATATAACAAATTAATAAAGTCACGACCGTGGTTGATGACACTGCCTCGTCACTTCCCTTGACTCGAGCTTCCGGCCTAATAAACTGTATTGAAGCTAAACTAGAAGCACCATATGTTTTTTTTCTAGTTTTGACGTGTTTGCCGTGATAGCCTGTCTACCCCCCACCCCTGGTGCGGATTCAACTTGGCTACATTATCAGCCCTCGCTTCCGTCTGAGTCGATCATTTTCGTTTTGTCTCGCTAACCCCCACTGCTCCGTCTCAGGTCTCTTTCTTTCAATGCAATTTAATCAGCAAAAGAAGGATCAAGTGTTGGCCACCAGCGCACTTAAGGATGCAATGGGTGCTGAGATGAAGAATCGTCCTGTGCCTGTATACGTCAAGATGATGGCTGGTATGGCTGGTGGGATGGCCGAAGCTTGCATTTTACAGCCATTAGACGTGACCAAGACAAGGCTGCAATTGGACCGTAAAGGTCAATACAAGGGCATGATGCATTGTAGCAAGACGATATACAAGACAGAAGGTGGGCTTGCACTCTACAAGGGCCTCTCACCATTTGTTACAAACATGGTGCTTAAATACGCTCTACGGTTTGGTTCATTCACGTGGTTTAAAGAGCAAATTGCTGGTGGAAAAGACAAACCAATTACTCCGACGATTAACTTTACAGCTGGACTATTAGCTGGTTGTATTGAGTCAATCTTTATTGTCACGCCCTTTGAAGTCATTAAGACTCGAATGCAAAAAGAAGTTGGTGTTGGTCGATTCAGTGGACCCATTGACTGCACACGTCACGTTGTCCGTAATGAAGGCATTCGTGCACTTTGGAAAGGCAATGTTCCTACTATGGCTCGTCAAGGCAGTAATCAGGCCTTTAACTTTATGGCCTTTGCATGGCTCAACCACAATGTGTGGGACAAACAGGATGGTGATGGCAAGACGTTGCCTACATATGCTACATTCATTAACGGCCTCATTGCTGGCTCACTTGGACCTATGCTCAATACGCCCATGGATGTGCTGAAGACGAGACTTATGGGACAGGAAACGGTTGCTGGCCAGGAACTCAAGTACAAGGGTTTCTTTGATGCCTTGAAGGTCATTGCTAGAGAAGAAGGTGTCAGTGCTTTGTGGAAGGGGCTGCTGCCACGTCTTACGAAGATGGCACCCGGCCAGGCCATTACGTGGTCGGTCGTCATGCGCGTAACCTCAATTTTTGAAAACCAAGAGCTGGATATTGCGGAGAACAAGATTAAACTTTAGAGCGAACTGTGCAGATAAGACGAGAATTCGGACTACATTATGATTGACGGCGAGTAGCGTCGAGCTTTTGTGTAGCTGAAAAAGACTTGGTTATTGAGATTTATTTGATAGTAAAACTACTTCATTATGTGTCCATTAACGTAGTCGTTACCTCCATTAATTGAGCTCGTGACGTGTTTCAATCGTTGACGAAATAGGTTTAACGTGATCGTCCAACGGTTAGCATCGGAGTTAAAATTCTTTTCTATTGTATTGTGCACGACGTGCCACGTTTTCTACAGTCTTTTTTACAATGATACAGTCTTGTCTTGCTTTTAATGACTATTACGATTGGAATTGCCGCCACCGTACGATAATCGCTCAGCAGGTGGAAAATCCTCGCGAATCTTGATCTCGATCTCATCTTCAGACATACCCATCGCTCGATATTTAGCAATTGCACCTAGGAGCTTGTCGAGATGACGACTTGTGCTGGAAAGACGTGGTGGTAGTCCAAAGCTATCTCCATTTGAAAAGAGCGAGTTGCGGTCCCGTATATCATCCTCACTTCGAGCGTGGCTTTGGGTGAGTGGAGGTGTCAAATCATCCATCATACCAATTGGCCTTGCTACCTCGTTAGCAATGTTCTCGTCGTCATCACTTGGTTCGTCGCTATCGTAATCCTCATCATATTCGTCATAGTAGTCGCTGCCTAGTGAATACATGGACCCTTCGATCAAGTTCTGCTGACGAATACTTTCACTCCTCGATACTGTGTGACTATTTCGGCTACTCGCTCGACTCCGAGTGCCTCGAGAACGCATGGATGATCGTGTCAGCATGCTCATCGTGGCACTTCCAGTGGCAGCCATTTTTCCTCCCGAAAGTCGATGCCACGGAGCTCCATGGTTGCAGCATTCACAGATTCCTCCGATATTTTCTCGTCCATTGGGTAACTGTTTCATCTTTTTATATTTCGAACATCCACATGGTCCTTCATCTGAATCTCGACCAAAGACACAAGTTCCTCTTCGTCCAGCACGTGCTCGTATCCGTTGTGTTCTTCTTTCCAATTCTTCCCACAATAACGTCCGTGCAGGCACGGGCTTTGTCGGTACTAACCCGGCTGCTCTTTTGGCTGCATACTCCTTTGCAATTTCAAGTAAAAGTTTCTCAGCTTCACGAATCCGTCTCAGTTGATCGACTGCATGTTCACACTTGTGTTTACTATTGCAACTATCTCGTAAACTTCTCGACTGTTCATCTTCTTCTTTTGTCGGATCCAATGGGAACGACATCATCATCATCTCGTCTCCCACTTTATCACTAAATCCAGACCCTCGAGGCAGCTGAGAATCCGTTGTTGAAATTGCCGTTCCACACTCACTTGTCACGCCTTCACTCTGAGAACGAGATCGACGTTTATGGTTAGAAGGCTTTGAATGTTGCAAGAATGGAGATAAAGGTGTTACCAAATGACGAATTGACGGTGATCGATGTTTTAAATTTACGAAATTCCTGGACGAAGATACACAATGTTCCTCTAAAGTTCCTAATTGATTACCCATGAACACCTAAAATCTTAAATATTACAATCAATGTGCGTACTTGGTCGTAAACTTTAAAGTGTTTAATTCGTATCAATGGACTTCTCTATCTCTCTCTTTTTTATTTATTTTAATTAGTTTTTTTGTATGAGACTGTCGGTCTTTTTTTGTTTTTAATTGTAACGGTCGATGAAAGGCGAAGCAGACGAAGCACACACAAAAAACATGGAGGGAATTTCAAATCGAATGTTACCATGAGTTTACTGACATTTATTTTAGTAGAAATGATAGTTTAGTATACTATAGACAATGAGATGGTATGGGTTTAAGGAGTTGGATGATACTGACGTATTTTGTCGAAAATAGAGTCTTATACAATTCCACGACGTGAATAGTGAGTCTTTCATCGGGATAGTGGAAAATTTCGATAAAAGTTTTTAGAGACAATTGATACACATCAAACGATATGACACCGTTTCAATTGGTTTTGTCACGTTCATCTTGATGCTTTGCGAACTTTTGTATTGAATTTACATGAGGGTATTTTTTGCAACGTTGCAATGATTTTGCTGGTTTATTTTCTCATAAAGAAAGAATCATGAAGATAGAAAGCGTAGGTCTCAATTCATATTGGATCCGAAGTACAGCAAAAAGTCTTGTGTCCATTTTGTTGGTTCTTGCACGACTGTCAACTCAACTCGTCAGTTGTTCTCGTCATGACACGATAGGAAATGCTCATCAGCACATATAACGTTGAAAAGAAATTGTCGGAAAAGGCGGAGGGACTGACTGACGACTGTGGCTTGTGACGGACAAATGTTCGCGCCTGTCCGCTCCTGTCGATTTATAACTTGAACCACTTCAACTAAGGTAGCCGGTCCACGCTAGCCAGTTCAAAAGATCGCAAAGTGGTCGTGTGTGTGGCATGTCGTGGCACTTTTCATGCGACGTTTCAAAGTTGTATGGCGTGCTTCCAAACGAGTTGATACCAATACCAGGGCACCCAGTGTGTGTGTGGATTTGCCACAATTTTCGTCTCACGTGTCGGATTGTTTGCGTCCAAGGGTGGATGCAAGCTAGCAATCGATCGAGATTTCACACCGTCTCGCCACTGATTTTTTTCTGTATGGGTGGGTGGACGGAGATGATGAAGTCTGTAAAGAAGACGCCATACGCACTAAAAGTCAGCTGCAAGTCTCTGTTGCGTTGTAACATTCCACCCTCCGGATGTGTCAACTGCGATTCTTCGAATGAAGAAAAAAGCAGTGACAACTCCTTTATGTAGCTTGAACTACTTCAGTCATTGGTCGTCTTCCTTGTTAGCAGTGTCCAATCTACTGACCGGAAAAGCCGCATCGTTTTTGATCGCATCATCCACCACGGTAGCAGTCTCGCTCGCAGTACTATCTGCAGTGGTACTTGAAGTTTGCTCCTCCTTTAGCTGTGTCTGCTGCACCAGCTTCTGTGCGGCTCGCAGCACTGTCTCCTCTTCACTCTCTTGCTCCTCTTGTTCTGCTTGTTGAGCACTTGCGCTCTTGGGCAGAAATGGCTCACCAGGACAAAGCACCTCAAAGATGGCACGGGCATTTGCACTTGCACTCTCCAGGTGCATTTCCAGAGGACTGACAGCATTGCCAGACGATTTTTGTGAAACGGCATCCGAGTTACAGTCGGGTCCTACGACGGATGTTTCGCACACCCACACATTTGCGGGGAGATCGTTGTCCTTTGTGTTGGCAATGATGTCGAAAGCGTCATTGGAAGCAAGGTGGTCCATAGTAAAGATGGCTCGCCAAGCGATCCGATCGCTCCACTTTAGCTTAGATAGAGTATCTATCTTGGCATTGGATGCCTGAGCTACATTTGTGGCTGCTTCCGTTTCTGTGGCACCAGTGTTCATAACCGGAGAGGAAGACGACTTGGCGTCTGCTTTGCTCTGCTTCTGCTGCAGCTCAGTCTCCGAGCTCAGAATTAGCCTCCGGATCACGGACTGCATGAGGTCTTGCTGTTTCTTCATTTGGTCAAAGCACTCAGCTGGCAACGGCATCGAAATCTGCACGAGAAAGTAGCCTTTTGGACACGCATACGATCCGTTATCGAGCTGCACAACTTGAATAGCAAACGGGTTCTGGAATTCGCTGTCTTCAGGTGGAATGACTAGCATGATGCGATTCATACCGTCACGCAAAGATGTTTTCAACACAAACACACCTCGCAGTATCTGACCACGCACATGTGTCGATGTGTCTCTATCCGTACGACGAAAACAGTCAACATAGCTGCCGTTGGTCACGATATGCTTCGTCCGCAACACATCGCCATCGCTGCATCGTACGCCGCTGATTTTATTGGTCTCCGTATCCAGTACGAATCCATCAACTGGAGCGCGAAGCACGTAAATACCTCCGTACACAGCACAAAGGCGACAGAAGCTCTGCGCGAGCTCGCTAATGCCATATAATGGTGCTAAAAACGCGGTGCCTGTGAAGCGCCCGATTGACGCCACATAGCAATAGACCGCAGCAAGTCCGTCACGAGCCGAGACCTGGTTTTTCGTAACAGGAAAAGTCGCTAACCCGACGCAGTACACGACCACCTGCTGCAATTTGGAGGAAAGCTTAAAGTGCTTCTCCAGCAGCTCCTGAAATGGACGTTCAAGGTACGCCGCAATCTCAGCATCTCCATCTACCTGACTCATCTTGTTTTGTGGTCGCTTCAGTGCACGTCCAAGAGCTAGTGTTCGCTCATTCTTGGTCTTGACGTCTTCGTGTAAAATGTGCGTCTCACCGTAATCAGCCACAAACTGCAGAAATTTCATCAGCTGCCGCTTCTCTACCATAGTTAACAGTTTGCTCTGAAATACATCCTTCTTTGAGCAAGGAACTTTCCACACTGTATCAGGCTCGAGATCATTCTCCATCTGTGTAGCTCCAGAGGCCGACGGTTGAAAGTGCACATAAGTGCGCTCAATAGCTGCAAATTCAAGGTATCTCCCCACACCTGACGTGATCAAAGTTTCCACAAGCTGTTCCGACGACAGCATAAGCCGTGGACTTACGTCAATACTGAAAGATGACGACTGTCGTAGCAATTCCTCCTTCGTGACTTCATTTGCAAAGTTCTCTTCTAGCACATGACACTTAAATGAGCTCTTCATCGGCAGTATTTTTTGCTGATTCTCCACATTAATTGTAAATGCATCGCCAGCATTACAATAAACTTGATTAGAATCTTGGTCATCACCAAAGTTACGAGGAACAATTGCTTTATTTTTCATCCATCGAAGGAATTGATCCAATGTAAAGGAAGCGTAATTGCTTCCATAATAATCATTCTGCAACAAAACAATATAATTAATGTTAATATTGCTATTTTAACAATATCATCCAGCAACAATTTTTTTAATACTTGGTCGAGATGCAAAACTTTTTTGCCGATTCGAGCTAACGCCCTATATATTAAATAATAGAGGTTAGCATAATAATGTCAATATATTATTTATGGCTATAATAAATAAATTATGGCAAAGAAAATTAAGAAAATAAATAAATAAATGACGTACGCTGCAAGAATGGCTTCTACTATACCAGTACCAACAACAAGTACGTCATATTCCGTCTCTTTTAAACTCGTGTCCATTTTAACTATTGTTTAAGTCAAATAATGCCTTATAAATAAAACTGAGCGAGCAGAGTCACTTTTTCTAGCTAATTTAAGTAAACACGTACGAAGGAGAGACCTGTAAAGAAATTAACGTCTGTAAAGACAACAATGGAAGAAAAATCGTTGCGCTAATCTTTTTTGACCCCTTTAGTTATCCCAGCTTTCAACTTAAACCTATTATACTGCATATCAATTATTATTTATTATGTGCTCAATATAAGACAATAAGAGGACTTATTGTGGATGAAAAAATTATGGGATCTATAATAATTTCTGTGGTGAATATAGGTACTATTCCAATTTATTACTACACAATTAAAATATTATCTAATTTCTAATCTAAAATCTTTTTGATATTATTATTTATGTATATGTACCCCAAGTTACGATAAAGTACTAGAAATAGGTTATGGAGCTGCTGGTGTGGCTAAGTAGCGTGTTATTTCTAGCACTTGTGCTGCTACTTGTCCGTATATGGCAAGTAGTAATTCCTCTACGTGTCAAAGTGTCCGTCTCCACTTATTCCAAGCCTTTTTTTCACGCTCAGAATGCATTAAACAGTAAAAAGAACAAGGATAAACGATACCAAGTTCGAGTGATGGCAGTTTTAGGGTCTGGAGGTCATACGACGGAGCTTTTGAAGCTTATAAAACGTCTAAATAGAGAAGTGTATACTCCTATTACATTTGTCGTGGCTCAGACGGACAAAACGAGTCAAATGAAGACGGAATTGGACTGGAAATTAACTGCGATCGACTCATTTGCCATTATTCCCCGTAGTCGAGAGGTCCATGCCATGCAATGCCATGCTTTAATAAGGTTCCTTATGTATATAAACTCTGATAGTTTTTGGATGTGTTTTATAGGTTGGACAATCGTGGATGTCGTCCGTGTGGACGACGTTGCAATCATTGCAATCGTGTCTTTATCTGGTCTACAAGTGTCGTCCACAGCTCGTGCTTTGCAATGGTCCCGGTACGTTACAAGTCCATTTAATTATTGCTCCTTTTGATCTTGCTTGTCATTGACTGGTTGGCTCTTTGTCCTCGTTGTTGCTTTGTAGGTACTTGTATTCCCATTTGTGCAGCAGTCGTGCTCTTTCGAGTCTTTGGCGTACATACTGATTCGAAGATTGTTTTCTGTGAGAGTTTTGCTCGTGTACAACATTTGTCACTTACGGGTAAGCTGCTGTACTACGTGGCCGATGAATTTGTCGTGCAGTGGCCACAGTTGCAGATGAAGTATCCAAGGACAAAACACTTGGGTGTCATTTGCTAGAGAAATGAATGCTGCAACTATGAAACGAGGTCGCTATTATGCTTTAGAATGAATACGTCATCCATACACGATGAGCAGACAACGCCGTAAGGTGCTGGCGAAGTTGTCTACCAAGCTTCATGCTTATCCTAACCATTATCAGTACACTTTCGAAACCGTAGATCGATGATGCCTACAAAGTAGCATAAATGTACTGAGATATGCCATTTCGACGTCGTGGTATCGCAATGTCTTGTCTTCACTATGACCTCACATCATTCCGTCCAAAGTATCCGTATCATTCCTCATCTTCTCTCATTATGCACGTATCCTCTACCCGCGTTGGCTCCTCCCCGGGTTCAGTAAACTCTAGTTCTGCTAAAATTAGCGTCTTTAATTACAAGACCCCATCGACCGCCATCGAACACGTAAAATTCCTGCAAAAATTCCACCTTTTTAGATTTCTTTGGTAGCTTTTGCCTAATATTCCGTATGCCTTTATGTGGGTGTCTTTGTAGCTAATGACCGTTGCAGCAACACAAATGAGCTGTGGAAACCCTGAAGAAAACATTAAAAAAGCCGAGTCTCTTGTGCGGATTGCAAGTTCTCGGGGCGCTCAAGTCATTCTTTTGCAAGAACTTTTCCAGTTTTCCTACTTTCCCATTGAGCTCAATGCTGGTAATTTTCAATTGGCTACAACACTGGAGGAATCGGCGTTAGTACAGGGTATGGCGTTGTTAGCCAAAGAACTACAGGTTGTCATTCCGATTAGTTTCTTTGAAAAATACAGGAATTCCTACTACAATTCATGTGCCATCATCAATGCCGATGGAAGTGTATTGGGCATTGCACGAAAAATTCACATTGGCGGTATACAAGTTTGCAATCAAAGACAATGGACACGATATGGAGACTGACTGACTGACTGACTGACTAAAATTTGCATTGTCGGTGAGTAGATCGACTTGGGTACAATGAGAAATACTACTTTACACCATCGGATGACTCGTTTAAAGTGTGGGACACGGTGAGGGTCAAGTGTTTCCTTATTTAAGTCACTTGGAGACTGAGTTTTTGTTTTTCGTTGTGTTGTTGCAGTGCTATGGCAAGATTGGAGTGGCTATTGGATCGGATCAGTGGTACCCCGAGGTGGCACGCAGTTTGGTGGTGAAGGGAGCCGAGCTGTTGCTGTATCCTAGTGCCATGGGTAGCAACCAATATGATCCAAACTTTGACCCCCGCGACCAGTGGCAACGAGTGATGCAGGGTCACGCAGCGGCTAATATGGTGCCTGTTGTATGCTCCAATCGCGTGGGAGCTGAGATTGTAGACGGCATTCAGGTCACATTCGTCGGGTCCTCTTTCATTACAGGCCAAACGGGCGAAATGGTAACATGTGATTGTCCGTCCATTATTGACAACGATCATGTATTGTGTTGCTAAAACGTGCATGGGTGTCTTGAATTTCATAGCTCAAAATCGCCGATCGTGAATCCGAAGGTGTGCTCGTGGAAAGCTTTGACCTTGAAAAGTTTCATGTGCGACGAGCTAGCTGGGGACTTATTCGCGATCGCCGACCCAACTTGTACGGAGCCCTCATGACACGCGATGGACCTCAGTAAAAAAATGGTTTCGCACTGCGCTATCCAACTAAAAAGTACACGCTGCGAAATATCTCTTCAAACACAGATGCATAGCATAGAGGTGTTGTCATGCCAACAACATTTCAGTCCCATGCTAGCTCTCTAAATGCAGCAAAAGTATCTTAAATTGATGTCGTGTAGTTTTCGTATTGTTTAAGTGGTTCAGTTGATAGCTGACGTTGAATTTGTGCAGGGTCGTGGCGTATATTATTAAGTCAAAGAAAAGAAAAAGGTCGCGTCACGTCGACAACAATCAAAAAAAAGAGAGATGGTTTGAATTCCGTCTCCTGTCCTGTTACAATCTCGTCTCTCTTTCTCTCTCTCTCTGTATCTTCCATTACGTAAATCGAAGACCCAACGCCGCTACCACATCACGAAATTTGTGCAAATCCTTTCGACGAAGATATTTCAGTAGTTTTCGTCGTTTCTCGACCATGGCAATCAATCCTCGGCGTGAATGATGATCCTTCTTATGGCCCTGAGCATGCGTCGTACTGCGTAAAATCTTTTGCGTAAGGACTGCAATTTGTACTTCACTTGAGCCTGTATCACCTGGAAACCGTTGAAATGTTTCAATTGCTATAGCAACTTGTGCTTTATTCAGCTCATGTTGTGACGCATTGCGTAGACTCAAGACGGCCTTAAGTTGCTCGAACGCGGCTTCTTCTTTTTCATCCTGCGGCTTCAAATCGTCTAATTTCAGACCAAAGCGGTAGCTTTTATCAACTGGGACACGTGGTGGAGCAATGTACGATACATAACGAGCTAGAGGGAGGTAAGATGATGCAGGTACAGCACGTGCAAGACGAGCGAGCGCAAACATGATCTGAACTTTTGTTTCGATGGTCAGGAATGGCTGGATAGCGAGATGTCACTATTGTGCATGGATGTTAATGACGTACTGATTTAGGAACAGACTGTCAACCAACATATGAAGCAATATTATCTGCTACGAAATGAGTGTATATTTAATTTACAATGGAAAAGTACCTAGTTAAAGATTTAGCATGTAACTTACCTGAATAATATAGCTTTTTTACTTTCATATACAAAGACCGCATAATCTTCACCAACATATTAGCTGATAATGTTAAATGGAGCAGATTGAACTGCAGACTCGTGATCTTCTGCCTCTTTGCAGCTTTTTCTTGATTGTCCCTATTTGCCATGTCGCTAGTCGTCTTCTGCTCATCCTGACCAAAGTAAAATTCTTTCGTGTTTGAATTAACAATACAATGACATTCTCTCAGTTCTTCGAACCTCTTTTTACGGCTTTGATCCTCCTCGTGAACCTCACGCCAGTTAAACGCGTTGAATAGCGTTGATGGCGACCTTCGGGGCTACAATACCGAACAGCATTTAGGACGGCAACCACCTTTTAAAGCCACAGTCCACCCGCACAGCTCTGAGCACACAGACATACTCTCACGGAATACCACGTCTGGGTATGTTACAGAGTAGCTGCTTAGCTACCCCTCCGTTGATTCTGTACTTTGAGGGACGCGAAATGGACTTGTAAGACGCATCTGGCCTACAACAGGCAGCGCAAAAGACTCTTACGTATCCTAATCGATACTGCACAGGAGCGAACATCTCTTTGGCATATATCATCACGAGATCGGAGGTATCCTTTGCTCAAATGTTGTTGTATAAACAAGCAGCGTGATCTCGATTCGCTCCAAAGAGTGCGGGTTGATATTCGAGGACATACCGCTGACATAGCTGACGGGGCTTGGTAAGAGACATGGTGGATAGCTTGCTTCATCTGCGTGACCACGCTATGGAATGGTTAAGATCAAGCAGCCCAGCAATGCCACCTTTGATATACTAGACACTGCACGTCCAATGTACCGTAGCAAAAAAATCATCTACCCTGATTTGCTGACAGGCTTTGCGAGCCAGCCGTTGGAATTCCATGTCCGACGTTGGGGGGGGGGGGGGGTTCAGCCGTTAGAATATCTTGTCACAACTGAAATAGCGACGGACCATGGTCGGCTCCAACGTTAAGATCTACGTCGTGTGCAGCTCGGTCCTGTATCTCAAGTTTCTGCTGGCCACGTGTGTGCAGGGTGGCAAGAAGTTCCTTTCGGGAGGTCGTCCGCCTGAGGATGCCCGTATGTCTCTCGCCAAGGGCCGCAAGCAGACTTATGGCCTGGACAAGACCGACGACGAGAAGGTGCTGAAGGCCCGCGAGGTGGAGCAACGCTGGACGCGCATTGTGACCAACGACCTCGAGTCTATCCCTTTCGCGCTCTTCATCTTCGGTTGCGGCGTCTTGACCGGCAGCAACTCCACGGTTCACGCCGGTGCCATGATCATCTATACGATCGCTCGTTGTCTACACACCTACGTGTATGCGCACGCGATGCAACCGCACCGTGGGATTTGCTGGGGTCTGAACGTCGTAACCACACTGGTGGGTGTTGGCAATGCTGTCTTCGCCATTCTATAAGCTCCGTAGATTCAATTTGATCCAGGCTGTCAGGAGAGTAAGCAGTTTGGTGAAAAGCTCGTATGCTTTCAAATGCAATCAAGGTTTGTGACAACAACCAATTGTAATTCCGTGTTGATTGCGATGTATTGGCATGATGTTTGGCACTTTGCGAATTGGAACTTATCCGATCATGCATCATCTAAAACATAGTGTTCTTCTCAAGTTGACCGGTATGTAGATGATCAAGGAGCTGCACTGTTTTCGCCATTACGCAATGTAACAGCTCAAATTAACAAGCGGTCCATCAATTTGACAAACGGCTGATGATCAAGTTGCGCGTTGTATCTTCAGTTCATGCTGGTCATGTTCATCCAAGGCAATAAGGATTTCAAGTCGGGAAGCCGTCCATCGGAAGACTCAACCAACGATGAGCGCCAACAAGACCAGCTGACGACAAGGATCTGCTCCAGACTCACGCGGTAGTTTGTCATGTGCAGCGCATCATCACAAATGATCCGAGTCTATTTCGCTTGCACATTCTGCCTTGGCAGTGCAGCCTAGGCGAGTAGCGGCTTTAGCGCCCTGACCGCCTTCGCATCACCCTCTCTTCAAAATGTCTATTACGTAGACAATCGGTTTCTAAATTGTTTGCGCCAGTTCCTGCGGCGATCGTGTGTGTGCCCGCGGTCGCGTTCGCTTTGAATCCGCCATCGGGCGACGTGGACTTCATTGTGTTGCCATTCGTCGTTGTGGCAGCTCTACCCATGCCGAAAACATCGTGTGCAATTGGCGACAACACAATCGAACTGGGTCTCTCGCATACCTCTTCGACGCTGGTCGTCATTTGCTCAAGGTAGACGTTCGCCACTGTCTTGTACAATTTCGCTTGCCCATGCTACTCAATGCTTAGATTGTTTTCGCGTACACGATGACAGCACATGATACCTTTCACGCAAAATCTTCTCCGTGTCAAGTCGGCGCTTCTCTCTACGCGAGCTTAAATGTAACTTCGGCTGCTTTGTCAATCCCTTTTTGGTGTCGTCCTCGTCCTGCTTTTGTGCTTCTTCTTGTGCTTGTGCGTGTGACGCTTCTTGGACAAGTTGGAATCTGCCTGAACAATTATGGGCGCTGTGTCGGCTGGAAGCATACGCATGGCATCTTCTTGTGCCTTGCGAATGGCCTCCATCACACCTGATGTCACAAACGAAGAATCCGTCGCTGCTGCAACACTTGCCGACGGGAGGAGAGGACCATTTTTCATGTTGAGCACGGCATCCAGCTGGAGCAAATCCTCCTTCTGCTGGCGTCTCCGCTCGGACCTGTTCTTCTTACTAATACTGTAACTCGCAAACCTGTCCTGATCACCTTCTTCGTCGCTATCGTCACTTGACTCAACTATGACATTTCTGTTGACTCGTTGCTGTTTTTTTGACTGCTTGTTTCCACCTGCAAAACCTGCGTCACTCGACGATGGTCCTTTCTCCAAATCGCTATCACTTTCGTTCAGAAACGCCTCTAGATCATTGCTTGGAACAACAGTCGTTAAGTCAGGCACACCAAGTGTAGATGCCAATGCCTCCGAGGGGATTGTTTGAAGGTCGGACAACCGCGGTGCTGCGTCTGTCTTCAAATCACTGACACAATTCGACAAATCCATTGGTGCTTGTGTGCTTTCGTGCAGAATTGATGGAAGCGGTAACGTAGTCTCACCAGGCAATGACAGTGATGCTTGAAGCGCAGACAGCGAATGAAAGTCGCCCGCATCGCACATATTTCTCTTATGGTAATGTCCCATAGTATCTTTCACACCCTGGCTCGTCACGCTTTCCACGCCATCTGTATTCGACTGCATTGACGACGTAGGAGGTGCTGATACTTCAGGAAGTAGCACAGACTCATTGAGCGATAATAAAGGCGATTTAGTAGAGCCCGTTGAATCGCTTGTATCACCGTCGCTCTTTTCATCACTCATGCGTACCTGGGGATGACATTGGGGCGAGCTAGGAGCAACCACATCGTGGAGCATATCTGCATCTTCGGTTTCTTGCGAAGTTGCAGCTGCACTGTATTTGCACTCTTCTTTTCCATCATGCGCGAGTATAGTATTCGGTCCATCTACACACAAACCGTTCATACCGGCATCAGTTGGCCCTCCGTCTTTTCTGATGGAGAAATCCTTTTGATTTTGTGCAGGAGCACAAAGATCATTCGCCGGCCCACTGTTGATGTCATTGTCTATAGCATATGCACTCATCTCTTTCTTCTCTGTGGCATACGTGGTAGTACTGATAAGCGCGTTGTCGTTTGCACCATTAGTGGAAGAATGCGTTTTACAGCTCAAATTCTTCGAACCTTTTTGTTTAGGAGATGTCTGCGGAGATTCTTGTCCGCAAAGGCTAGCTGAATTTTCGGTTCCTGTGAACCCTGGCTCCTCACTTGAAGAAGACTCGTTCTTCAGCTCAATTTCACTTTGCAATACGATTACACCCATTTCAGAATTTGTCGGTGCTGAGCTGTTTTTGCTCTTGCTTCTTGGACTGGACTGACGAGCTAATGAAGCCGAAGTAGAAGTACGCAGAACAGCAGGTTGTGTCGGAGTTGGAGCTAACTTGTTTGTTGGCCCAACTGACTGCCAATGCTTTAATGGTTCCTCGCGTGGCACAATTTGAGAACCATTTACTGGACTGCTAGGTTCAGATCGCGCTGGAGATCCCGGCCTGCTCCTTTGAATTGATGGGGGAGCAGTTGGCGGTGGGTGTGGAGAAGGTGGGTGTTGTGAAGATTCATGGGGTCGAAGTATTGTCCAACCAGTAGTAGCATTCGCTTGTTTGGTTGCTCTGCGATGAGGAGAGCGTTTGCGAGACACCTTTCCATTTCGTCTACGCTGAACTCTCGTCGATTCATTTTCATCCGAATCCGAGTCGGAGTCAAGAAAACGCTGCTTGTGGTACACACCACTGGTATTTGCCTTCATCAATCCATCCGCAGGTGCCACCACTACATCTTCATCGTTACCCCCAATATCTTCATCACTTTCATCCTCCGAATAAAAGTGATTTAGGTCACTAATGCGCGTTTTCGGCACCTGAAAATCCTCAAGATGGATCACTTCTTCCATTGATACTTTCCTAGGACAGTTAGGACTAGCATGATTTAGCAATGAAGATTCACTGTTTTTTCCATTGGGTAAAGCATGTTCACCTTTGATATGTGGGACATTAACATCTGTCGCATCATCTGGAATGGATGCCATGTTTTCCTTGTGTTGAAACTTCAATGAAGACGTTGCCTGGCTGACACCACTACTATTTCTTGCGGGTAAATCCTTCATATCTTGCGATTCCGTCACCTCTTGATTCTTTTGTGGCGTTTGAGTAGTCAAAGCAATTATAGGAGTTTCCGCATCATTCTCCTTACATCTATTGTCCGTACCATCTTGTGCGGTCTTTCCTGGGTCAATATCACTAAAAGATGAATTCGCTACGTTGCTGCATGTTACAGCTCGTGATGTGCTGCCGCTTGCAGAGCTACGTCTACCAGTTCGAATATCCGACCCGGTCGTTTTGATGTGCGCCACATACTCCGCGTAGCGCTGTTCCATAATTGTAGCTTGAACATCGTGCTTCAAGTGTGTAAATTCGCCTTCCACAATACGCATTTGTTGCCTGATGGTCGCCAACTTCAACTGTAAGAACGGGATACCAAAGTACTGGTGCAAGGATTTTAGTCCATAACAATTCAGCAACGAGCACTCGAAATACAGTAATTCCGTCGGTCGTCTCCACTGTTGTGGTTGCGGTCGATCCCTTGATCCGTACAGCATTTCCTGGATATCTTCCTTGAAAATCTTCCTTTGAGCTCCTTGATCTCGAAAGTTTCCCAACACTAACGTCGGAATGTGTACAGGGACATTATCCAGCTGTTGCTTCACATACTCCAGTGTATCCCACTTGGTAATATCCAGTAAAAAAATCACGCCATGAGCTACATGGTACACATTCACAGTCGAGGCATCCACAACAGCCATCGAATGGGTCCCATTCTGCATAGCAGCAGTAACTCTTCCAGCTGACAGACTCTTCTGACTCTGCAGACCTTCTTGTTCCACAATAGCAGCAGTCTTCCCTCTTGTACCCCCACCTTCTTCACCTCCATTTACAGTCTCCATAGGGACAAAACCTTGATCTACGACGTCCCAAACTTCACATTTGACATTTTCTTCCAAATTTTCACGAAATTTCCAATTGATCGTAGCAGATTGAAGCTGAGGCGTAGACTGATGCGTCTCCGGGATCAACTCGCCTTTGAGTCGTTGGAATAGCGACGTCTTACCTGTACCCTTTGCACCCCGGATCAAGAGCTTCATGTTGTATGTGATGTTACCTCTTATACGAGAGCGAATGGCTTTATCCATGCGCTGGATTATACGTTCTTTTTTTGTGTTTAAATTAGGTTTTGCATTCGACGTTAAATTAGGGTTTGGATTAGGGTTTGACCCTAAATTAGAGCTGTTGCTTGTCCGACGTGGCGTAATAGGCGTATCTTTTGCTTTTAGTGGCGGCGAAAGAGAGCGATTGTTGAAACTTAGTGCACGACGGGATCCATCACCTGTAGGTGTATAAGGAGAGCGACAGGATACGGCTCCTGAGCTCGGCGGACTCAAGTTGTTCGGACGACTCACCTCGTTGCCCATTGCACACCGATTTAGATGCGGAAAAATGACAGAATGATGGTTTGTGTGGTAAACAGAAAAGAGATGTGGTGCCCATAATACAAATTTCCTGTCAAAAAGCTGCATCATTCCAGTGAGATCTTGCAACGCCGAAATGAACCTCTCACATCTTATAATACGTCGTGCCTAGAATACCAAGAGAGTATCGTTAACGATTGCTCAGCTATTGTCATCTGCGCAGTAGCACTATAAAAGCTTCGATGGCACCTCTGGAGACCGCAAATTTTTTAAGCAAACAGAGGACTTACCACGTATCATCTGCTGCATTTACCCACCTCTGTTCTATTTGCAGCTAGCACACTGCGTTTCTTCAAAACACTTGATCAATGAAAATATAGGATAGCTTGAATCGTCAACTCAAAACGTTACGTAAAGATCAATAATTAGACAGTCAAAGGCAAACAACTATTACTATTTACATATTGGAAATCATGGTCCGCTTCTTGATGCGTGTGATATCTTCATCATTGACATCAGAACTTACCTTTATTTGTGGGGGTTAAAGCTATGGAATTTCACCACCTCATCCATCAAAACTTTTATGCGATGTCTTTCATTTCTAATTTCGTGGAGGGACGTTGCAGCATATCCAAAAGGCGATAGTAATCGTTGTAATTACTAGTCATAGTTTCCGCCATGCTCACCCATGTTTTCTTCGGCCGGCCAATACACTCACGTCGTAATTGTCACATATTTGACCCACAACTTGAAGCGTGGGGTCCTTAGCACGTTGTGATCATATTTTTGGAGGTGAAGCATCTGTAACATGCTATAGGGGGTCACATTTGCATTGATCCTAATTTAACATACCCATCTTGTATACGTATGGCGATGCTTCTCGTGGCTGAATCCTCGGTGGACTTTTCCAGCATCTCACAAAAGGCAGCATCATTTGTACCGTAACGATAACCCAAACCAATTGCCATCGATAGATTCAAGCCATCATCATTTGTATCGTGTTTACGTTTCAAAAGCTCAAAATATGCCATGAAACGTGGGGAGCTTAGCACATTGTCATCAAGTGTTATAAGCTTAAGCACATGGTTGATCACTTCATCGGTAGGTACTCCCGTTTATTCACCCTTATTTTTTTCCATCTCGACTCCAATTTGGTCGCAAGTTCTTCCGTGGCTGAAGCTTCTTTGGAAATTTTCAGCATCATTAAAAAGGCAGCATCATTTGTACCGTAACGACTCCACAAACCATCCGCCAATCGTACATACAGGTCATCAACATTTGTGCCGTGTTTACGTTTCAAAAGCTCAAAATATGCCATGAAACGTGGGGAGCTTAGCACATTGTCATCAAGTGTTATAAGCTTAAGCACATGGTTGATCACTTCATCGGTAGGCACCCCCGCTTGTTTGACCTTCGATTCTATCCATCCATCTTGCAACTTGATCGCGAGTTCTGTCGTGGCTGGATCCTTTGTGGACATATCCAACATCATTAAAAAGTCATCGTCACTGGTACGAGCCATAGCCTTCGCCATCGCCACCATTTGTGCTTCCTCCAAAAATGTCTTATGTAGTGTTGTCACATATTTGACCCACAACTTGAAGCGTGGGGTCCTTAGCACGTTGTGATCATATTTTTGGAGGTGAAGCATCTGTAACATGCTATAGGGAGTCACATTTGCATTGATCCCTAATTTAACATACCCATCTTGTATACGTATGGCGATGCTTCTCGTGGCTGAATCCTCGGTGGACTTTTCCAGCATCTCAAAAAAGGCAGCATCATTTGTACCGTAACGATAACCCAAACCAATTGCCATCGATAGATTCAAGCCATCATCATTTGTATCGTGTTTACGTTTCAAAAGCTCAAAATATGCCATGAAACGTGGGGAGCTTAGCACATTGTCATCAAGTGTTATAAGCTTAAGCACATGGTTGATCACTTCATCGGTAGGCACCCCCGCTTGTTTGACCTTCGATTCTATCCATCCATCTTGCAACTTGATCGCGAGTTCTGTCGTGGCTGGATCCTTTGTGGACATATCCAGCATCATTAAAAAGTCATCGTCACTGGTACGAGCCATAGCCTTCGCCATCGCCACCATTTGTGCTTCCTCCAAAAATGTCTTATGTAGTGTTGTCACATATTTGACCCACAACTTGAAGCGTGGGGTCCTTAGCACGTTGTGATCATATTTTTGGAGGTGAAGCATCTGTAACATGCTATAGGGAGTCACATTTGCATTGATCCCTAATTTAACATACCCATCTTGTATACGTATGGCGATGCTTCTCGTGGCTGAATCCTCGGTGGACTTTTCCAGCATCTCAAAAAAGGCAGCATCATTTGTACCGTAACGATAACCCAAACCAATTGCCATCGATAGATTCAAGCCATCATCATTTGTATCGTGTTTACGTTTCAAAAGCTCAAAATATGCCATGAAACGTGGGGAGCTTAGCACATTGTCATCAAGTGTTATAAGCTTAAGCACATGGTGGATCACTTCATCGGTAGGCACCCCCGCTTGTTTGACCTTCAATTCTATCCATCCATCTTGCAACTTCATCGCGAGTTCTGTCGTGGCTGGATCCTTTGTGGACATATCCAGCATCATTAATAGGTCATCGTCAGCGTAGTGACTCACCAGAACCTTCGCGATGGCTATTTCTGGATTGGCCTTTTTGTGGCGTTGTATAATCTTGTTACAAAACTCGATAAATGATGGGTCGTTTAGCAGATTGTCGCCTGTATTCTGAAAAAACAATTTTTTGTGCTTTATTATGGAGGCCGCCATACGTGGTTCATCGATTTTTTTCATTAAGGAATCAAAGGGTGTCTTAAGGAAGTCAGGTACCCTCTCCTCTTCGGTTGCCTCCGTCCCATCTCGCAGAAATCGCTGTGGGGGGGGGGGGTGCTGATGAGATGGTGCTAGTCGCTCGAAGCTCGAACTCGATCTTGTTGAAGACAAAGCAGAGAGGGTGGCAGCAGCCACGAGAAGCAAAGGGTACGTACGCATTATTGGTTTGTCTAGCTTGAGGGTTGTGAGAGAAAATCAAGAATGATGTGCAATCGCCGTTACTGTGATATTTCGTCTGATTGAATTAAAAAGCTATTTTAGACTAAAAATTGCAATAAAAGTTCCCTTCAACAAGTTCGTAAACTTGAAGCCCGAGGATTTCAGAGGCCAATTCGTTAATCCGTGTTTCCGTGACATATTTTTCAGCAAGTTGACAAATTTTAGTGCGTATAACATTTTTATATATACAGCTGGAAATTTGAGAGCTTGCTATTGATACAATTGTCAAAACTATTTAGTTAGAAGAGGTAAGATTGCCAGCCAAGCGATAGTGACGACGATCGACCATCTTTGCTAAGGCCACCCACCATGGCAGCATCACAGTGTCACAAGTCCGAGTTTTGAGATAGTCGTGTCTCGTCAGCCACCACCTAGTCTGTACGAGACGCTGTTCGGATACAGCCAGTGCCGGCGGCGGTTCTTCCCACACCAGAGGAGACAATTGCTGCTTTTTCAGCATTCACAGTGCCACCTACACTGGCAGTATGTTCTCCGACTTCACCGTTTGCACCTCCGCTCGGACCGCCACCAACACTGGCAGTGCCTCCAACATCAGTCCTGACACCAGCAATATCCACGCCGACACGGCCCTCTCCAGTACCGGTGCCGCCATAACCGGTACCCCATCCGTCCAGTCGAGCTCCGACGCCGTCATCACCGGCACCCCGTCCAGCTCCATACTGTCCAGCATTGCTGTACGTACTCACGTCATGGTTTCTGAACGTCTGAGCGGCCTCTTTCTCAGCGCACACGCCGTTCGAAAGCGCCACAACGGCAAGGCATAGGGCAATAAATTGACTGCTAGTGAACATCGTTGCAGATGCTTGTTTATTTCTTGTTGTAAGTTGTGAAATGCACACGGGCTGATGGATATTAGCTATGGAATGACGAAGATTTAAAAATAAACTTCAGACGGGTTGGTTAGTGGGTATGTGGCGGACAGGGGCAAGCGAAACCGTTCAGGACGTAGCAGAAGTCTACCTCGAGGCTTATGACGACAAGCTTTCGAAGAGGTATGCAGGAGACCCAGACGAATTTATCAATTTTACTATTTTCGAGACTTTCGATCCGTTGTATCAGAACCGTGGGCTTGGTAGCAGCTGACAAGGCAGGATTATTTTTAAACGCAGACAGACACCCTGACAACATGACGGTTTCATATTGCGCAGTCTCATCGAGATGTAGATTATTGACTATCTTGATACGCAGCTTCAGTGATGTCGCTGGAGTTAATATTGGATTGCAATACCATACAACACTGTGTTCATCGTATGTACCAGAACGGTGTTGCAATCCAATCTCAACTTCCTCTTACAAACGATAGTGTCGAAACCTGTGACCGGACACCGCATGTTACCGCTTGCAGGTGCTGTAAATGTGTACGGTCTTTTTGGTGGAGATCACGGTACGGGAAAAGGATAGTGCAGCCTTTTTCAATAGTGACGTGACGATACTCGGATTCATATCTATTGAAGTAGTAGTACGATGGGAACAAGCGTGTCAACTGTTGTCTCTTGACGTGAAAGTCTATCTTAGCGCTCGTTTTACGTTGTCCTTCACCATCGGGTGTCCCTTGTCGTACTGTTCGACAAGGCCGGGAACGTCGGCCATCAGTTGGGCCCGAGGTTCCCAGCTATCCGCCGAAGGCGGATAGCCACGCCACCGGACGAGATAACTCGTCCGACGTCCCTTCTCCTCGCGGTGCTTTAGTCAGCGTTCCACGAGGAAGCGCTTCCCACCATGGGAGTCCACCAGCGGATGCGGTGGTGGAGGAAAAACCCTGTCCGATTCTTTCATCGGACTTGGCTGCTGAGTTAGACGGGTTTGACCGTGTAACTCGTGAGCTCCGTTGTGATGTTGATCACGAACGGGATAAGCGTCGCCACTTAAAGGACATTGTGCGACAGCGGGGGTTTGACCATGGAAAGTCTCGGGCAAACAATGCTGTCGCACTATTGAAGAATGAACGGCGTCTTCATTCTCTAAGTAACGAGCTGGCGACAGCTCGTCAGGAGATCGTCCAATATCATGGGAAGATCTCATCTCTACACGACCAGGTATCGAATCTGGTTCGTGAAAACAAGAATCTGAAGGGGATTCTTGAGAGTAATGGCTATCTTCGTCGTTCGAAGAAGCCGCGTACTGAACGTACGGACGAAGACGTCCCACATAAAACGTAGGATGCGTACGCATCCTGCGTGGCAACTCGATCGTGTATGCGTCCTAGGCGGCGCAATACACGAAACGGGCCGATGTGCTTGGGCAACAAATTATTGCTGCCCACGCTAGTCACTACATGTTTAGGTAGGTTTACTGTTGACAGTAAAACTAAATCACCTTCAATAAATGTCTGAGCATTTGCCCTTCCATTATTGTCTGCGTTTTTTTTGCTTATCCACCGCTTCCGCGATGGAATCTTGCACGAAACGGACTACCGCTTCACGAGTCAGCAGGAAATCCTCAGCTGACTCGTTGCTTTTGGCTGCAGTGCATTGTGAGTGCACTGCAGAGATATCGGTTACTAATTCAGCGAGAACATTACTGTTCTCACTTGTGGTACCTCGAACGATGCTGATATCTTCAGCATCGTTATCAGTAAGAGCGTCATCGCTCTTAATTTCTTCCTCTTCACCAAAGTCGAATGGTACGACTTCGGTTACTTTCGCGTCGACCATAACGTCGTCGCGTGATGAGCAAGAGCCAAATTGGTTCTCGCTCGAGCGAGTCCCTCCCCCCTTAAACTAGAGTCACCCTCTACTAAGGTGGGGACACGTGGATGGCGAAGGCCATTCACGTAGAACGGTGTATGCGTCGTGGAAGCATGCACGGAGTTGTTGATGGCGAATTCGACCATCGACAAGAACTCACTCCAACTCGTAAACGAGTGGACGTACCCTCGAAGAATCTCTTCGAGGACGCGATTGGCGCGTTCAGTCTGACCATCAGTTTTTGGATGGTCAGAAGTAGACATTGTGAGCCGTGTTCCAAGTATTTGGAACTCGGAACGCCAAAACTCAGCCGTGAACCGGGGGTCCCTATCGGACACAAGTTCACGGGGTAAACCGTGCAATCGAAAGATTGTATCGATGAACACTCGAGCACATCCCTCTTCTGTGATCGACTCAGGTACAGCAACAAGATGTACCATCTTGTTGAACCTGTCTACAAACACAAGAATACCATTATTACCGTGAGCGTCTTTGGGAAGCCCAAAGACGAAGTCCATTGATACGGACTCTCAGCACTCTGCCGGAACAGGTAGAGGCTGCAATGGTGCACGGAGTGAAGGACTAGGCTTCACTCGTTGACACACCTCGCAAGCACGCACGTACTTGCGCACAAACTTATACTAGCGTGGCCAGTAAAAGTCGCGACTGACCGTGAGGTAAGTCTTCTCACGGCCGCGATGCCCACTTATTGGTGCATCGTGACATTCAAACATGATCCGTAACCAAATATCATGTTGTGGCGGTACAACGACACGAGGCGTGCTGTTTGTTGACGGCTGTGTAGTACAGTAAGCCGTCCCGCAGGGTGTATCGATCGAGAGAAGTGGCAGGCAAGTGTGGTGAAGTGCTAATTTTGTGATATGAAGGTCCCGGACTCCAGTTGGATTCAGAGTATAGGCCGTGGGTCGGGGACAGGGGACCAGAGAGACAGGGGCCTCGAAGGGGAGCGACCGTTGGTGGAGGACAATCCGCAGGATTCGCCGAAGAAAAATCAGTATCAGGGTACCGGTTAACCGGTACCAAAGGGAGTTGATCATGGCCGCTCATTGATCGACCTGGCCCCTCGTTGGTAGACCCGGGTCCCTCATTGGTCGACCCGGTCCCTCATCGGTCGACCTGGCCCCTCGTTGGTAGACCCGGGTCCCTCATTGGTCGACCCGGTCCCTCATCGGTCGACCTGGGTCCCTCATTGGTAGACCTGGGTCCCTCGTTGGTCGACCCGGTCCCTCATCGGTCGACCTCGGCCCCTCTTTGGTCGACCCGGTCCCTCATTGGTAGACCTGGGTCCCTCATCAGTCGACCTCGGCCCTTCGGGGTTCAGCCACTCCGGACCAGTTAATACAAGGATCAGACTAGTCGACGCAAGGAATCAGAGCTTCAGGCAAGGATAGAGTAAAGGAGGTAAAAGGATAGGACTATATTAAATACTACTCAATTTGCGATCTACGTGGCACGACTCCGTCACCTAAGAAGGACTTGTTCTAAGTTACTCACTGTTCCGGGAAGGGATATATTTTGTCCCCCCGTCGAAGACAGTTGCGTAGCGAAGTTCAAGGGCGAATAGAGCTCCAGGATATATTTGGCCTGTGAGCTCGTTCGAGTAGCAACACCCCCCCCCCCGACCCGCTATCGGAAGCGGCCTCCCTTACCTCACGATCCGGGAGCAACGTAAAGGTCAGGTAGTTAATACCCCTGAAACAAGAAGGAAAAGGCCAGGGACGACAAGCGCCCCTGAAGAATTTGGCTCTAAGTCCACTCTCGACAAGGTCGACCTACCGGCCCACCGAGTGAAGCATATCCACTCGAGGCCCCCCAGGTCTACCTCCCTCAAGGCAGACATCTACATCGTCACCAAGTCCTCCGAAGAGTGCAACCCGCCAGCCGACGGGTACACAAGGTGAGAGAAGGTTCATACGCGGCATCGGGGTACCCCCTCCGACAGTCGGCAGTCCGGCACAGTGAGTGGTTTGGGGTCTCATCATACAATTTTGAGAACCCACTCCACCACAATGGTGCGCGTGCCCGGATCTTCGGAAGACGCGGGATTTCACCGCGAGTCCCAAGATGATAAAGATGTTCATGCCAAGAAGGAGCACAAGACCGAAGAGTCACGGGAAGACCGATCGCCAGAGACTCAAGAAGAAACAAACAAAGGATCGAAGGACCGACCGGGCCTTGGGAGGGGCCCGGTCAACATGGTCGAGGTTGAATTCATTGAAGAAAAACCTAAATACCCTCCCTATGTCCTCGTTGAGGACACCTTGGGTCATGACGCCTATTATGATCCAGAGGACCATCAGCCGACGGTGAAAACCGAGAGGCTAAGGTCCCCAAAAAAACAACAAAACAAGATCGCGCAATCCAAGCCGACGAAGTTCCGGATGAAGGCACCCGGAAACACCAAGTCGATAGGCCCCGAGAAGGAAGGACTGGCGTCATGGACAGACGCCGATGTCACGAGGGCCTACCACCAGCGCAAGCTGAACGCGTTCCTTGAGAGCGACGTCGTCGCGAAGATCCTGGATATCCGGCAGCTGGGTCAACTCACTGGGCCGGTGTCGACCCTGCCACGGCTGCACTCCGTCACGGACGCGATCACAGCGCTGGTCACCATGCTTCGTGAAGCGAACATGGTCGCAGGTCGGTTCGACCCGGACGACCTGCTATCCCTGGGGTTCGACAGAATCACAACAACGTTAGAGCACATGCACAAGCGTCTGTCGATCCTGGTGGGTACCACACCAGCAACGGAACACCCACCTCTGGTGACACCTACACACAAGCGGTCCAACGACAGCCAGATGACGCTTCAGGACATCACGGTGGGTCCCCACATGTACGGAGCCGCCGGCCACCCGGGGGCGAATCAAGACCCATCTCAACACCGAATGCCAAGCGGCCAGAGGGAAGCAGCACCGTGGTCTCCAGGATCGTCCTCAACTGGGTCGGTCACTAGGATGCCCCTAGGCCCTACTGGAGCGGCGCTGCTCCAGGCCCGAGCGCGCAGCGCGGAGCAGGGACCAAGTGGTCTTGAAACGGCGACGCGTGGCAAGAATGAAAATCATTCCGATTTTCAGCCAATG